TCAAACGGTTATGCAGTTATCAATGTTTTTGTAAAAGCACATACAGACAGACAGGCGCTAAACGGTTTGAGATAGGAAACACGTTGTAGGCCTATTGCATTATTTGCTTGTTTTGCCCTCCCGAATAATCTGGAAAATTTTGTCCTAGTCAAAGCTGTACATACTATATAATTCTCCCAAACTTTAACAATAAGGTTTTAAGTAATTCCGTTCCGTCGATTTTTTAAATCAGAAAGAATACGTCACCGCCATTACAAACCGAGCATATCAGAGCGTTCAACCAACGCAAGCACTAAAATTATGCTACAAACGCATTTGTAAAGTATTTGCTCGAGTTTTAGTTTCTTTTGTGCCTTTGGTAAAACGTTTCGCCGAATATTCGATTGGCTCTCTTTGACAATACCTCTGCTGTGGGGCATGTAAATTATATTTTTACCTCTTACGTGATTGTATTTTTTCATTTTACGATTTTGTCTCATTTGACTTAATATTATACAATTTTAAGCAGAACATTAATAAATAAATACCATCCAAAACAATTTGAGACTATGAAACTTAAATGAATAGTTAACGTTTAGTTATACCGTTAAGGTCTAATATTGATAAAATAAAAGTTATTTTCATCCTAAACAACATATATAGAGTACAATCATATATGTTCATGCTTGAAATCCTGGGAGTTAGGAACAAAATAATAAAAATATTAAACAATTTACTTAATCTTAAAGTATCGTTTTGAGGACGTATAAAATGTCCACCAAAAGTTTCCATGAATTTTTAAAACATAGTTATCGTATTTTACAGTTTTACAGTTTATATTTTTTATCTAATCTGCCAAGCATGGTTTATTTGTTGTATATTCTATTCACCACAGTTTACAATAGTTTTCTTCAATATACATGTACCAATCATTTTGATGGAGCAAACATTCTTGAGAAGCAATATCCAACTTAGTACAAACAAACGGCTTCAACTTTGTGTACATGAGTAGTTATTAGAAGGTGAATTGAATTGAACTCTGTATTTCTATCAAGTTTTGCATCTGGAAAATTGAATTTATAAAAAAAAACTATTGGTGATTGGGCGGAAATTGAACACAGAACCTCAAGGACCAAAGTCCCACGCTCTAACACTACACCACCTTGTTCTTCTGTGTTTTAAAGAATGCTGCCATTATATGCGACGTCCTGTAATCCAGCTACACGAAGGTCACGAATTGTGGATATTTATAGGCATGCACTGTGGATTTGATACTCCCTGGTGTGGATGAACGTCCGCACTATTGAGTGCTACGACTATCCGCAGTACTATCCTGATAATTATACCAATTCGTTAATACCAAGGCAAAAATGTGGTTCGGATTCCACTATAAACTGTAGGTCCCTTAATTGCCATTAGCTGTTAATTTTCAGCTTTGCCTAAGAAATATGTCGGCCTTAGTCACTAACAAGACTACAAGATCGCGCCACTCATCCTACACTCATCTCCATTCATACTTGGCTTAAAATACCTACTTTCGTATGGTCACCATTTCAAGGTATTTAAGTATTGTGAAAGTTTATATACGAAAGTTTTATAAGCTTTTTTAACTTTCATTGGATTGTCAAGATGTGGTAACGATTATAAATAATGCAATCGAATTATGTTACAATAAAATAGTTTTTGTGCGTCAAAATATTTTTCAAACTTGTGTAAAACTCGTCGTATAACCACATTCGAAAAAAAACTCATCTCACTTCCAACTATACGTCACAGCTAAATGCATTTTAAAAAAATATCTCATAAAAACAAAAAGTTTTAAAGGTGTGACGGAATAGAATACAGTTGGTGTTATTTTTTTTATAAAGATGAAGTCTAAAATACACTTTTGACCGACTCGTTTAATCTTTGTTTTCTTGTTTGGAATCAAAATCCAAAATAAAATAATCTATCGTAACCTAATCTTATACACACAAAGTATATTAATACGTTACTGTAAAATAAATAGTTTTTTCGGAAGAAATCCCTTTATTTGGTACTTACCTGCACAACAGTTGACATTCTATAAAATACGTAGGATTATCCACAATGTCTAGTCTAATTGACTAAGTATAATTATTATTTCTCGGTTTCATAGTTTGTATAAATGCTTAAGGTGTGTTGAATACCTAATTCAATATAATTACTGGATTTAGTATTTTGCTGGTAACATGAAAATATTTTTAACGTAATATTGAAATAGGTTACTCTATGAATTCGTATCCAGTTGTCTACAATATGATAACAATGCAATATAAGGGTATGATTGTGTACAGATATAAGGCTCGAAAGGCCAGTGGACCGTTGGATTAGGTCCTTCTACTTCAGTTCTGGTCATTGTTGTTATTGCATCTCCAGTATTGTCCTCTTGTGATCTCTGAAATACATTGTTGTATACAATCATTGACTATACACTAGTCTATACACTATAGTGTATATATAGTCAATGATACAATGTACCTGTCATATCAGCAGAGCATCTCAGCATTCGCATGCTATCAAATAGTTGTTTAAAACTAACAGAAAGTAGAATATATTTATTTTTTTTAGGTCTTATTTTTAATTTCTGGTAAGTTAATTTCTGACGTAATTATTCCTTTTTTATTTGTATTTTACAGCATCAGTATTTTTATTGTTTCCTTAAGGGATCAATTCAGATCCTGGTCTTAATAATATCCAACGACAAACTTTTGCTAATTAAGCTAGCACCATTAATTGGCAGCCAAATGACAAACTGCACCTTTGTTCAGAAACGGTCTTGCCTGGGATCGAACTAGCGACCTTTAAGATTTGAAGGCAAGCACTTAACTACTTTGCTATCTAGACAATTTTCTCATTTTCGTGTAATTTTCAGTCCATTCCTTGAGTAATTTTACATCATTCTATACACTAAAGGTGACTCGCCTCTTAACTGAGTTGTTACGTATTTTCAGATAGGTTAGCAAACATGTAAAAGCATACCAAATCATGAAGTACATCAAATAAGATACATATTAGGGTTGTTTAACTAACTCGTTCTGTGTGATAGTGAAACTAAACCGTAATTGCTTTAATTTGTACAATAAACAACCATTTATTTATGTGTAAAAATGTTTGTGGATTCCCAAACGGAAGACGTTGTATAAATCTTTATCTATTGGAGGGGTCTTATCAATTCGTGGCATTTACCAGTGTAATGTTTCACGTTCATGGTAATATCCAAAATCACGGAACACTAACGAAAATCAGATATGTAAAAGATTGCAAAATGATGATTTAGTTTCGGAAAATAAATACATTCATGTTATCGTTTTTAAATCACGGTTACGGATGATAAAGGGTTGAACCATGAAAAATCTATATAAATAAAATTAGAGTTTTGTCTGTACATTGCTTAGAATAATGAACTTTTTGGTTATTTTTACATTTCATAGGTCAGAGAAACCGAATCAAACCTTATCTCAATTTCTGTCTGTCTGTCTGTCTGTCTGTCTGTCTGTCTATCTGTCATTCTCTTGGTAACGCTAAAATACGCACTTTATTACAACTACTCCTCAATAACTATAGCACTGTCCCGCCTGAAACTTATTTTCCAAATACTATACATATATGAGATGGTTTTAGACGTATTTCATAGAATATGAGACAGTTAGATATTTAACAGTAAACCCTTGAAAATCAAGTTTTTGTCGATTTTTGACGTGGAATTTCTGGAAGCCCATGTTAACCTTATGAGAAATGAAATTATTGAATCTTAACAGCTGTTTCAATTAAACAAGTTGGTTCTGTTCTGTGATGTTCAATAGCATTAAAGTTACAAGGATTACCAACAGGGTGCAGCACTAGCACTATTATTTCTTTTACATTTATGACAACAGCTAATTTGCAACCTGGAGGCGAGTGAGCGTAGCGAACGAGCTAACCTGAAGGCAAGTGAGCGTAGCGAACGAGCTAACCTGAAGGAAAGTGAGCGCAGCGAACGAGCTCCAACATACAGGTGAGTGAGCGTAGCGAACGAACTTCAACCAGGACGTGATTGAGCCATGCAAACGAGATCAGATAGTAAAAATAAAAGTAAGCCTACCGTTATAGGATCGACCGGCAGACACAGAGGTAATTTAACCTTTTATTGATTGTCATACCGATCCGGAACAACAAAAAACAACATAAAATGAAGCTATGTATAATAGTTTGGCCAGCATATCTTAAAATATGCAAACCAACTGCTGTTCGTTATATAAGAAGGTTTCAACTGAATATTATAAGATCCCCGTGCGTAGAACGGGTACACAGCTAGTAACTAATAAAATGGGGTTTTTGCAGAAAAATTCACAATTTGTTAAGTTTAATTTGTTTAGTTTTTTTTCGATTCTATGTTAATTTTACATGGCTGTTTCGGTAATAAAATTATATATTTATTTATATAGAGGGAGGTTTTATTACTTTATTGAGGTCATATTGTTCATAGAAAATACTATACGTAATATATCCCGTTACAGAGCACGCTTATAATTCTACGTAAGCTTCCATGGTTTAACCGCTTTCTTGATCTTTTTCCACAAGATGGCTTTTATGAAAGGAAAATGATTTTTTTATCTAAAGGAGTCTGAAATACATTAGTAAAAATTAATTAACATGATTTTTTGGTTGCTATCTTATTGAACATATCAAACAGTTAAAAAGCTAATGTCACTGAAAAATATGATCAACTGATAATCATTTTCTGAAGTAGCTTGTAAACGTTATATCTTCCAATAGTCAATGGTTATATTTTAAAGAAGACTGCGTCTGGGATACATTTTGTTGGTCTGAATATTTTATTTTTATTTCTGTGGTATTTTGGAAGAACCAATTCTGCAGAACGCTATACTATTTCCATCCACCAAACAACCAAAATATAAAAATATTTTTAAATGTTACTTATAGGAATTGAGAATAGGAAAGTTAAATTGATAATACAGTGTGTCTAAACAATATTATATTTATACACGAGATTGGTACAAGCTTACAAAACACCAGAATGTCTCAGGTTTGGTTTCAAAATTCAATAATGCTCTTGCTACAATAGTAAAATTATATTTTAGTAATTAAAAACAAATAAATAGTACAACAATATACATACAATTTCTTTTGTCAAAAACAGCTCGGGGGTTTTATCAAAAATAAAATCTTACAAAGGATGGATTTTGACTCAGAGGTAAAATTTTGAGGAAAAAGTAACATAAAAATTAAAATAAGAGTTTTATATTTTTTAAATTTACAACCACCTTCTAGACCCAACTTAGTTTTCGCTTAATACCTACAATATTGAACGTTGAATAAAGTTGAAATGGATGATTATTTATGACAAATTTAAATGGACGTATTGTACATTCTAAATATCGATTTCAATACAAACAATTACAGCAGCTTTAATAAAACGTTTAAGCTCTTTCTACGTTATTAAATTTACTATGATACACATATTTAGTTTTATTGCGTTATTGCGATCTACTGCTAGCTCTACAAATATTCACAACCGATTACAAATATTGGAACGATCCTGGAAAATACAAAAGCTGGTAATCTTTAATCAACAATCTTTCAATTTAAACCGTTTATACTTGCAAAAATCATACATTTCAAAACTTTAACTTTAATGCTTCTTTATATCACGCAAGTGTTATTATCACAATTTGTCGCTGTATTTCGTTCGTTTCTTAGGCTACCTGGAAACTGAAGTATAGACTGTTTGAAGCAATTGAGCTATTATAATAAAGAAGGGAAACGTGAAGGGGATCTCACTACACGTATTCGAGGCTCCACTTGACTCTGAAAACAATACAACAATAATGATTAAATTATTATATATGATATTATCATGGTCTAATACAAGGTCGTGGGGGAATGACAAATGTGGCAACGCCGCAGATCCGGCCAACCGAGACAGCTGTTGCATTTCATAATGGAGCGTCTGCGCAATGTTTATGTTTACACTTGTATTGCTGTTATTACCATTGCAATAGACCGGCCGGTGCGACGTTGCCACACCAACGCCGTGGCTTTATATCAGATGAGGCTATGATATTATACGATATGGAGAAATGAACCAAAATTAGAGAATGTATATTGTGTCACAAAGGCTTTACCGATTTTAATTGTTTCAGAGACAATTAACAGTTTTTACGACACAATTAAATTCAAACACTAGGTATCACTGAGGATATTTGTACTTAACGTCACCTTATATTGCATTAGTTCATTGTATAACTCATAACTAGAGTGGTATAGGTGAAGTTAAACTTTATTTGGAAAACCTAATTGTACATGAGGCACTTTTTTTAGCACCACAATTTAACTCACCTTTGCGTGTAGGCCTATAGACTTTTAATGATTTTATTACAATGAACTAACCAAAAAAGGGGGTATGTCATAGGGCGTCAACTGTCTTAGCATACCATTTTAAACTAAGAACATTTACCATTGACTTTAAATGCATACATGGTGGTAAATTATTCCACAGTATTTATAAGCTATTCAACAGTATTTACCTTGTGTGTGGGGTACAGTCGGCCCCAGCACAGGGGCGAGTTGTGGAGTGTCCTCGTGTATATCCAACTCCGCGCTGCGCCTGTAGAGGGTGTACTGCGTCGACAGACAGCGCAGACTCAGTCTACCGTCTTGGAACAGGGAGAGGGAAGCGTCTACCTCTAGCCTCAATACCGAGGTGTCCGGGTCGTCTAGCCTCGCACCGGGCGTCACTTCTTGTTGTACAAGTACAGAAGGGTAGGTTGAGTGCTTCACCTAAACAGATAAACAAATTTAATTTAATTCTTTGAAATTACGTCATATAACAGGGAGTGGGTAGCGTCTACTTCTAGCCTCAATACCGAGGTGTCCGGGTCGTCTAGCCTCGCGCCGGGTGTCACTTCTTGTTGTACAAGTACAGAGGGGTAGGTTGCGTGCTTCACCTAAACAGATAAAAAAATTTAATTTTATTTCTTTGAAATGACGTCATATAACAGGGAGTGGGTAGCGTCCTACCTCTAGCCTCAATACCGAGGTGTCCGGGTCGTCTAGCCTCGCGCCGGGTGTCACCTCTTGTTGTACAAGTGCAAAGGGATAGGTTGAGTGCTTCACCTCAACAGGTAAACAAATTTAATTTAATTCTTTGAAATGACGTCCTATAACAGGGAGTGGGTAGCGTCTACCTCTAGCCTCAACACCGAGGTGTCAGAGTCGTCTAGCCTCGCGCCGGGCGTCACTTCTTGTTGTACAAGTGCAGAGGGATAGGTTGAGTGCTTCACCTCAACAGATAAACATAGTTTATTCAATAATTTGAAATGACGTCATATCATTTATTTTCTTTATTTATTAATTTATTAGCGTCTACCTCTAGCCTCAATACCGAGGTGTCAGAGTCGTCTAGCCTCGCGCCGGGCGTCACCTCTTGTTGTACAAGTGCAGAGGGGTAGGTCATAGCTCTGAGGTGCGTATCTTAAGGTGAATGTGATTGTTGTAAGAGTGTAGAATAGAGTGATATGATGGTAATAGCTTTGTTACTGACTAAAATAAGCTATTACATTTTTCAACAAATTGTTCAAAATTAGTGATGTTAAATTCGCTTAAAAGAATTTAACAATTTAACAACTTATTAGAAAATACGTGATGTTTAACTTTTGTGAATAGTGATTCAAATTAGGTACTAGTATTTTGAAAACGTTTTCAAAGAATTGTATATAAACAGTAGATCTTCAGAAGCCAACGTTTTTCCATAGGATATCGTTGAACAGACCTTTCTTTGTTGTTAATTTCAATATTTCAATCAATCAACCAATCAATTCTTTATTCAGAACGTACAGATACATCGTACATGAATGCGTCATTTTAAATTTTTTATAAAATAGGTATAACCTAAAGTTAAAAAATCATAAAACAGCAGTTTTTATATAAAATAAATACATTACTTAAAGTGAAAAAATCCTCCAGACTGTAAAAATAATTAGCTATTAAGAATTTTTCAGTTTCTCCTTTTAAATTTATTTCTGCTCTGCTCCTTCCTTATGCCATCTGGTAGTTGATCGATTAATTTAATGCCAATATAGTTAGGACTTTGCTTATATTTTTCTTTTTATGATTTTTAATTGTGAAATTTGTTTATACCTAGTATTGTAGTTGTGGATATCCTGTTGTCGCTCTAATTTTGATTCATTATTTTTTGCATAAAGAGTTGTTTTAAAAATATATAAACACCGTAATTAAATGGCACAACACTAATCTGCTCCATAAAAATTAACTCAATGACTTTAATGATTTTAAAACTATTTCACATATAATTACTGATGTAATAATTTGCATAACTACTGAACTTGTGATAGAAAATCAAAGTTTCAAAGTCGTGTGCAGTTCACAAACAATAACTTAGTGTTAGTAAGTTTAGACATAACGGAAGTCGTGGAAAACTAAAACTAGAACTTTGAGGTAAACATTAAAACAGCGTATCTTGGCTATTAGGGTTGGCCTTATTAGGTAGTCGATATTTGTAATATACAACTTGTGAAAATTGTTATATATTTACATTATGTAAACTCAAATATTTTGGCTTTTTATTATTTAACATGTTTTTAAAGAATGGGAATGAGTTAACGGATTAAATTTTTTTTATTGAAATATAAAACATCCATCCAGACTAGTCGTGTAGGAATTTCCTTTAAAATCTGCCATACATGCGTTATTTAATAAATCGTGTTTTTGAATACCTTTCTTTCACGTGTAATTTAAGTAATTAAAGGCAATAACGACGTTATTTCTATCACAAATTTGTAAAAATTGATAACGTCTATTTTAACCTATTAAAAACAAATTTTTTACCTATCCTTTACATAATGAAAGGGAAATACTTAAGTCTCCAACCCAACATTTTAGATGCAATTTATGTATGTTTTTCCTCAAATTAATCAACACTTTGATGAAAGATGTGTTTTAGCATTGATAAAGGTAATCTTCAGCCGGCAATGCAATCCATAAAACACAAAAGCGGTGTTCTGTTTCAGCTAATTGTTTAACAACACAACAAGAAAACGAGGTGCATTATTGTGTTGGTTTTGATAATCAGAAATTCAATATTTGATCAGGCGCTCTCCAACCACCGATTGTTGTTGTTTTAAGCACAAATAGCACAGGTCGTCGAAACACTGTTTTGATTGTAACAAAAACCACGTAGACTCGTGTTGGTTTGTTTAAGAACATGTTATTTTAAACCTTTTTCGATGTTACAGTTTTGATTTTTATCTGAAGTTTTAACTAAGAGTGTTAACTCAATGCTTTTGATTTAACGCTTCTAAGCTTACTACATAATTTACACAGTTGTTATTTGACGTAAATAATTAATTTTGAATGTAAGAGGTCAATATTCGTTTATCTTTACTCGAATTAATGTCTTGTCAATCTTACGGATAACCTATATAATTAATGAATTTCCAAGCCATAATGCTTCAACTTGAAATTCTATGGAATTAAACATTTATTTTGGTTTATCTTAGTTTACACTTTTATTTATTAGTAGTAATCTGTGTGTATACTTTATTATCTGCATTTGTCAGCGGAAGAAGGCATGTTTTCTGTGTTTTGTTTGTTTATAATTATAATTCAGCAGCACTAAGCTACATGTTATACTTGTATGTATCACTAGTTTGTTTGAGATTGACTACTTAAAACTTGTTGGTTTGTAAGGTTAGTAAGGGTAGGCCTACCTAAAAAAAACCCCGCTCACCGGTTCAAGAAAATCCTGTTATATCATTAATGTCAAGGAAAATCCTATTATAAACCACATTCTGGTTTTATCCCGACAATTGTCTGAAAAGAAGTTTTTCTAGATAAAAATCCCGCAAATCAAGGTAATGAAACGACTCAATTACTTAGCAAAATGGCTACCATTGTAGGAATTACATTCGAGAAGTGCTACCCCTACATAATAGCTCAGTGTTTGGCACGGTTACGTATATTCCAGTTTACCTGTTGTCCGTTGATATACCACGTCAGGTTGGCTAAGGGATAACCTCCTTGAGACGTACAGTTAGCTCGTATCTTCTCTCCGAGACTGTACTTTGACTTCTCAGCTGTTAGGACGGGCACTGACCAAGGCTCTTCTAAAAATTGTAACACCATTAGACTCTTAAGCTACTTATTTTCTCCTAGGACACTAGACACTAGCCAATACTTCATGTTGGGTCTAGGAGTTGTGGCATTATCACTTAGATCAAATCCTTTATTGAATGGTAGGGCTTGAACTTGGGACCTCAGGGAACGAAGTCACACGCTTTCACGCTAGACCACCTCACTTCCCACTATTAAAGTAGTATTAATCACTCGCACACCTGTTTTCCGTGTATTAAAATAGTTCTGGCCAATTATGCTTTGTGCATTGTATTGCTATATCCGCACATGGTAGCTGCATCCAGATGTCAGTTGAATCAGGGTGATATGTATAATATTTATGTGATTTTAACTACAAACCAAAAATAATATAATCAAGATTGTGTGCCTAAAGTGTAACGTATACATAAACAAACAACGAAGGTACCGGTGCGAAAATTGCGTATTTTAATACGGGTTAACTCTGATGCATACCAAGTTACTGCAATACCCTTTTTAATCTTTCAAATATTACATTTGTTTCGTACAGTTATTAGGCCAATAACACTACTAATTTACTAATTCAGAATAAATTAAATTAGCTTATTGTGGAGTTATATAATTGACTATTGGATACTGAACACTATTCAATCAATAGTTAACAGTAGTATCCTAATGATAAGTCATGTTTTTTCTATTTTGAGAGCGTAGTCAAGTAATTAATTATCTCAATTTCAGTTAGAGAAGTAAGTCATTGCCACTCCTCTCTGAGAGACAGTTCATCTCTTTGAGTCCCTAAGTTTCCAAGACACTGATTAAACAGCAATTAGCACAAGAGCATCTGTAAGATTCTCCAGTTGTTAAATTTCAATTTTTTCTTGTTTCATTACCCCTCATTTATTGCCAAGAGTTCACTTAAATATAAAACTATTTTATTTTGATCAAGTGTATTTTTGTACAAAAAAATTGGATACCTAGTTAGAATCGGTTGCTCAATAAAAAGTGGTCGCACAATTTCCCATTTTTATATTGCAATCTTAAAATACACCCTGTAATCTAGTTTGTATTCTTTTAAAATCTAAAGTCAAGCGTTTTATCTAAAGATTCATTTACCTACCTCAATCAGTTGATGATTATCACTAATTGCTCGACCTTATGAAAGCCTATGTAAAATGATTTTTCATTTGTTTTGTCTCTTGTTTACTACTCGATTTAGTACTTGAAGCCGAGACAGTTTGCTAATATATGAGCTTGTAACTCCGTACCTACAACAGTGACGTAGGCAGACTTGATTCCTGTGTGGAAGAGAGGCGCATCGGCTGACACTTCGCACTTGTAATACCCCGTCATGTCTCTGTGTACATCTCCCAGGGTAACCGTGGAACTGTTGGATCTGGAGATCTGCAATGAGATTTGTATCTCATGTATTTTAGTGGAGATAATTCTCTAGAGATAGAGTTATATTTCAGAGGCCCAATTTGATAAATAGACCTATTGCTAAAGGACGTATTCTATCCTTCGAGTTGTACACGACGTTATAACCTAAACAAACATTGGTGGTTGGTAAGATTTGATCTCTAATACTGTGGAACAGAAGTCCCAAATTCCAACTACTTTTTATATGCACTCATAAAGAAATCGCCTTGGAAATCGATAGGGGTAAAGCAACACATTAACCCAAACAATAGCAGAAAAAGCCGATTTGGACTAAAAGGGTTGTGTTATGTGGTGGAAAAATATAGTGATTTTGGTGGTGGGGATGAGTGACAGTCAAAAATATATGCACTTCGATTACGAAAAGAATATCTGTGCTAAATAGGAAGGTTTATTTACATTTCACGTTTGAATATGGATTATCTATATGGACCCACCTATTTTAGCACTTCCCCAAGTCGTCTATTGATTTATTTTTGTAGAACTAACACAGTTTACATTTATCACACGGTTGTATTAAGATAGGGCCAGTTTTAATGGAGAAAAGGTCAAATTTGGCAAAGAGAAAGCTGTAACATTGTGTAATTTGATAATCTGACAGTTTTATAGAGACGCCAATTGTATTTAAAGTCATGCATTTAAAAACTATTAATAAAATAAAGTTTATCTTTCAAAAAACCAAAAGTAACCTAACCCATTCTAACCACCACATTGTAGATAATAGCAACCATATTTTTGAAAATCCTCGAAAAAATTTGCAAAATACTATGTCTAAGTTGCATTTAACAAGAATCCACTTACGTCGACGCGGACACCGTCTAGGGCGAAGACCCTGGTGGGCGGAGTCTCTCCCGGCAAGTACCTGTAGAACTCTGTGTCTCCCTGGTAGAACTTGACTGAGTAGAGATTTTCTTGCTCCAGGCTGAAGTCACAAGTCAATGCCAGACTGTCACCAACCCTGACAGCTTCTGGGACTCTCAAAGAGACATCTCGTAGACACAGCTGACCTGAAGAGCAAAGAATATTTGTTACTATTTTCTAATTATTTTTACACACCCTTACATCATCGGACACTAGGTTCTAACGCGGAACCATTGGGGGTCGAGCTGGTCTAGTGTTAGCACGGGACTTCGGTCCGTGAGGTCTTAGGTTCAAACCCTGCCAAATCACCCTTGGATTTGATCTAAGTGATAATGCCGCAACCTCTAGGTCTAGCCTGAATTAGGTAATGAGGACTTGCGCTAGACAAGCTTGCTCCTAAAAAAGTAGGCTAGTATTTTATGAGCAGTTTAAGGGCTTTGGGGAATGGTTATCTCACATATGTGGGACACCTCTAGCGTATAAGAGTATAATTTATAGTTTTCATGTGGAATAATAATCATCAGAATATGTCTTTATAAGAAAATATGGTTACACTTAATTTTAAATTTGTTAACCACCATATACATCATAGGATACTAGACTCTAATACGGAGTCTTTGGGGATCGAGCTGGTCTAGATGTAGAGCACGGGACTTCGGTCCGGGAGGTCCTAGGTTAAAACCCTGCCAATCACTCATAAATTTTATTTAAGTGATTACGCCGAAACCTCTAGGTCTAGCCTGAATTACGTAATGAGGTCCCGCCCTTGTACCTAAGAGTAGACTAATATTTTAAGAGCAGTATTGGGTCTTGAGTGGTGTTCATCCCACATATGGAGGAATCTTTAATTTATATTGTTATGGCATGGGATCATAATCATCATAATATGTATTTGTTAGAAAAAAAAATTGTTGGACTTTATTGAATTGTTTATTTTACCCTGGACCTATACATCGTAGGACACTAAGGTCCCAGAACCATTGGGGATCGAGCTGGTACCTTCGGTCCCTGAGGTACTAGGTCCAAATCCCACCAAATCATCAATGGATTTTATCTAAGTGGTAATAACAAAAACTCTAAGCTAAGCATGACTTATTGTGGAAACAATCTCTCGCTAGAGCCTAGCGTCTTAGGACAATAAATAAGGTATAAAAAGAATAAAATATTCACTACAACCAAACACCTGCTTCATAAGGTTGAGTTCGTGAGATTTTATCCCTTTGTAGGATTTCGGAAAGTCCTCAGGCTCACAAAACGTGCGACAGCTTTCATGATTCAGTTGAACAACTTTGTATTCTCTTTAGTCTGTGGAGGAGAAACTGTTTTATTCGCCTCCTTTTGAAGTACGGTTCTTGGGCAAACTTACAAAGACCTTTTGCAAATTTGCTTTAAAATAAAACCTTACCACACTCTTTTATTACATTTGAAAATTAACGTATTTAAGCTATAACTTTAACGAAAGCTCAAAACTTTGAACATATGACGAAAATTCAACTTTTCTTCATTAACTTTAATGGATGTTAATTGATAAGAAATCTTCGTGTTATGAGAATTCCTACCAACACATCATATAAGAGTTTTCAGTGTAAACGTAAGTAGGCCTGAGAGCTTTATAACAATAAAATGATTGTTATTTGTAGTTGATAGGAAATATAAAAGACTCATTCATTTATTACATAGTGAGTAGTCACTTATAAATTAGGTTTTAAAGATAGACTACTTTAACCAATGATTTGGTTGGTTTAATTTCCTTATAACTAACTAAATATAGTTTTGTTATAGATTTTACTAAATAAATTATCGGTAATAGTTACCTTTAATTGGTTATGGGAAACATATTAATTGACCTCAATTACTAATTACGGTTTTGTAACTTTACTTCATTCTTGATGATAAGTTTGACTCTTGATAAAGCTTTTGTAGTGTTTTAGTGCTGAGTCGTGTAAATTGCAGATTAAAAAAATATGCCAACTTTTTAAACAAGCTAAACTAAAAGAATAACTAATTGACAGCAACAGTTTTTATATCACATTAATATCATTGCAACAGAGGCTGTATGTAGAGATAGAACTTTAGCTTTGACTATTAATACTTCAGTATCCAATAGTGAATGGTTTTAGCCAATAACACACTCTTCTTATTGGTTCATTGAGCTGTGTACTTTTCAATAAAATATTTCTACATCTGATCAATTTAGACTAAAAATCTACTCTAGTATACAAAACTCAAAACCCTATATAGACCTCAATATCCTACTTTAAGGACAGTTACGAAACATTTCATTTAGTGAAATGAAACAGATTTTATTTCTGTAATATAATATGATAAATTGAACTAGTTGGTTTTAAGTCTCTGTTTGTAAAACCTATTATAAACCTCATAGATTTCAACGCCTGCTTTCCATAAATAACTACCTAATTTCCTTACTTCCTAGCGCAGATACTGTTAAGTTTATTAGCTCCAATAGGCAGCACTGAACCCTAATAAAGCCAATAAACTAACCCCCCTTCCTTCTCATTTCCCCCTTGGTCTATTAGTGATGATTAAGTATTGCCCGTCTGCAAAGTCGAACGAAAGCTAATGCATTCCTCTTCAATTAATATCGCACCCGGTTACGGCGTAAACTCCCCTATCATAAGTATAATTAAATTCTACTCTTTCTGTAAGCCGTTTTCACCCAAAGTGCAACTTTTTCATAAAACAGGGTAAAATAAGTATGTAAAATATATACAAAATAGTTTTGGTGTATCATTTGTGTTGTAATTACAAAAGAAATAATAAATATTATTTACTATTGTATAGAAATAATGATTGAATAAAGATAATTATTATATTAAATAATAAATAAATTAAATTGAAATATGAAAATGATTGTTGGACAGTAAGGTATTTACAATAAATTGTTGTATTCAAAATCAATGAACGTTGAAGAGTTAAAAAGGCATTACAGTAGTATAAATAACAACAAATGCAGTTTATTTTATGATTATACACGATATTTAATACCCAAGTAATTTTTTATTGTATGTTTAGCTTAGCTATTGTTAAAATTGTTTATATTAGAAAAGACAATAAGTACAAGTTTGTATTTACAATAAATAACATTATTTTTTAAACATTCGTATCTAATACAGTATGAATATTCTTCACCTTAAAGCAGATATGAAATTCTCGGAGTCCAAGTACAATAGTTTTTTTAAAAGTTGGCAGATTTTAGGTCAAGTAAAGATCCGCAAGAACAAAAATTTGCGATTACATATAGTTAAAATAATTGAAGAGACAAATATATTGGTTATAATTAAACTGCAAAATTATTCCAAGCAGTCAAATTCATCAACTTCATTTTACTTAAACAGTTCTACATGGTTTATGTTAAATTTAATTCAAAACTTAATATACACAGTTCCCTTATTGATAGAGAGATTTAATAGTAAAACGACAATATTTACTAGAACAAAATACACAAACATTTGCTCAAAACACAAACAAGCTACTGAAAAGCAGACTAAAGGACTCTTAATGTTTGTTAAAGTGATATAATGAGCAGAATCTAGGTTACGAGGAGGTCTCGAGTGTTGGGATTAAGTCAAGAGTCGCTCATTACAGGCTAAACATACGACACGAGACACCTTGACTACGTCTGCTGATTGGTCTTTATAAATATGTATGTCTAGAATTGCATTGGTTAAAAATTACTTCAATATTACCGATTTTAATGGTTCCTAAAATGTTTTATATGAAATTCGTGCACATTTTTGTAATTCATTGTATTTTTCGTTGTGTATGCCATTTGAACTTTGGGAAAAATAGTTTACCTACGACCGTTTTTTTAAGTAGCCGTTTCAGTACAGTTCTTAGAATTGAAAAGTATCTCATAACAGTATTGTTTACATTCATAACAGCATAGTTTTACTCATAACAACACGGGTAACGGACCAATGAGGTTCAAGGATTGAGAGAGGAGAAGCAAAATTGTAATGATTCGAAATTCAACTAATAAGCTGTTCAGGCCAATTTAATTGTTGATTGGTGCAATTAGTATTTGATACAATGTTCGTTGCATCAATGTCAGTGGCAATTAGAGGTTATAAACAAAAACATAACCTCTCTTAGAAGTTATGAGTAGTGATTTTTAGTAATTAAAACACCGTCGTCGGTAAAGTAGTGTACGCAGCTCGCGTAAATAGTGTTAACGACACTCGTAGAAGTTTTTAAAGCACTCGCCAAGGCTCGTACCTTAAATTTTCTACTCGTGTCGTTAACACTATCTTTACGCAATCGTTGCGTAAACTACTATTTTGTTCTTTGTTCAATAAATTTAGAACATAACAAATAAAATGGTGATTACTGTGTATTTGTTAAAATATTTTAAATTGATGTCGCCAAAAAAAACCTTTTCATGCTAAATATTCTCTTTAATATCAAATCCAATATATTTATCATCTTGATGATTAAGATTTTCATGTCATTAAAAGTATATTCCAGTTGAATAATTTATATTCGGTAAAACTAATATTAATCAAAATGGATAATATTTTAAGAAACGAATGCTTTTAAAACACTAACTCTAGGATGGTTATGCTAAAATGAAGTTCGTTCTTCTATTGCCATTTATATCTAATTAAATCGTAACTAAAATGTAAAATCATTAAAACTTTAATGAGTAAAGACAAACAACGACTAATTGAAATTAATGTAAATCAAAACTAATTAAATATTTATTTAGTTCATTAACGATACCTTTTTTTAATTTAGTCTTTATTTGCTACAACGTTAAAACTAAATCCTTTAACGAGGTTGATATTTATTTGACAAAACAAAAGTTGTTTTATTAGTGCCTATACAAATAAAATGTCATTATTGTTATTGTTTTTGGTATTTAGTACGCTCAATTATTCATTTGGTTAGATCAAGCATTTATTCCATTGTTATTTTTGTAGTTAATGGTTGTTAAATAAATTCAATGTTGTGACGTATTTCAGAATCAAATCGCTCATTATTATTCATTGATGACATTCAATTTGTTATGAGGCTGATTACATCATTTTTATTGTTTTTAATAGCTTCATTAATTTATTGTCATTATCATTATTGTTTCATTGTTGTATAATATTTTTAGACGCAAACTTAAGTTTGACTTGAGAATTAGCGAGGGTTTAAAAGACTCGTTTGCCCGTGTGATGAACTATATTTTTCGACATTATACATTTTGACATTCGATGCACCAAACTAAGTTACAACACATATATATCTATACTATATTTACTATATACATCTTATGTAAATATGAGTTCCTTTTTATTTGTTTTTCATTTTTATACTATGAACAATCAACTGTTTAGTAGGATGTAGAATATTTTTTTCGATTGCGATTCACCATCGATAGATATCGGTATAGTACATCAAATTATTAGTTGATCAATAGTTTTCTTAAGTTTATCGTGCTTTCAATGATAACTGTTCATCTTAGATTCAATACAAACAAATTCAGATCGACAATGCAACAACGAACTACAATCAATTGAAAATAATTTATACATTCTATACTTTCTATACAACCGATTGTTTACCATAAAATAAAGATGTACGAATGACGTCGTCAACTCGCTGATTACTACTCCGTAAGAAATAAAATAACTAACAGGTTTCACAGTACCTCTCTTAGAAATTAGTGTGACAGGTGGTAAACAATGTATTGCGGTTACTTTCTACGGAGGGAACGAGTTTTTTTTTTTTCCTAAGACGCTAGGCACGAGCCTGGGATTGTTTTTCACATTACTTCAGGCTAGACCTAAGGGTTGCGGCATTATCACTTAGATAAAATCCATTGGTGACCTGGCGGGGATCGAACCCGGGACCTCAGGGACTGACGTCCCGCGCTCTAACCACTACGCCAGCTCGCTCCCCACGGAGGGAATGAGTAGGGCCTACTTATTTAGACCCACAACGCATGTATTGAAAACTGTTTTTTTCTGTGAAACAACTAAACAGGTAACAATCATTCAACAAAGCTACTAAATTTTGATACAGCGGAAGATTATACTTTAAGATACATTAACATGAACTCAACAACAATTCCTCGACAACGATGATACCTCAGTGTTGACCCAAACTCCAATAGTGATAGTAATTAAACCAAGCCATTCAAACTATATCCAAACTTTTTTATTAAAAAATTATAGTAAAATATTGAAGTTAATGTAAATACTTTCTGGTATATTGCGAATCCATTAGATATAAATTTTAGTATTATAGTTGTAGGATGAAATATTTCAATCTGAAAATTATCAATCTCATTAATTTTAATTGCATTCTAAACAGTTTGATGGTAAATGACATATTGCTTCGATTATTCAAAATAACTATAGAAAATATTCATTTGACGAATAGCACTGTTAATTGCCTGTTAAAATACAATATAAATTTTTTGTTGGTAAAAGCCTATCCTACTTTCCATGTTCTCGTTAATTTTGTTTCGTAAAAAAATAGTAATACAGTATAAGCAAACTGATTTTATTCCATACTGCAGTTGGATGTGTCGATATCTATGTCGATCAATGGATTAATTTATTTGACAATGATTATTAATAACCTAGGGTTGATCATAGTCCTCTATCTCATGAAGATAAAGGAGTTAACCCCGAAGGAGTTTGGGACAAGTTTGTACAAGTTTGTATATAGCGAGATATATTTGCATGATTAATCAAAAATACATAGTTGTGATACTGATTCTAAAATTTATTGAACAAAAACTACATGTTTGCCTTGGTCGTGTAGCAAAATTATAATTGAAATTTACTAACAAGATATGTTATTGGAATCAAATTTATATTTGATTGAATATAGTATCTATTGAAGCTTTTCATTGTACGATACACATTTCTACTCCTCAATGTGAATTTTCATTCACTTTAGCTATCAAAGATAGGACTATTTAGTTTTTAGTCTTGTCTACACCCGTGGAATTTTTACAGGACGAACTACATGAGGACGTTCCTGAACGCTTTAGGGGGAAACGGTCTAAGCCCATGTGTAGTGTATGTGCCGGGAATTTAATTCATAAACACGTTTTCAAACAAGATAATTTATCTTATTGCATAAAATACATTTCCTAAACCAATTAATAATTAATAATTGAGATAAAGTTGCCATCTAGGTAGGTACGTCTTTTAACCCAAACATGAGTAAAGAATAATGTGAGATGATCTGTATAAACCAAATAAGCAACATTAAAATAGGTTAAACATGTTTAACATGCTAAACAACATGAAACATGTTTAATCCAAGTGTTTAAACATTGTGTCCCATGTAAAGTCCTAAAAACGTACACGATGGTGCAAAAAACTTGCTAACTAAATTACACGAAAAGTTAAACATAAAGTGTCGATGTTGACTTCCCTTTGAAAAAGTTAAACATCATCAGTGACACTAGCTGTCTGCACACACCCACACACCAACACACGCACACACACACACACACACACACACACACAGACCTACAGCAATTCGAGTGTCACCCTACGCTGAATGTCACTTTGACTTTGCAAGTGTAAACAAACACTGATGTTTACAAACCTCTTCTCGTCGCTACATAAAGTTTGACGTTTGTGGCAAAGGTGAAATATTAATTTCACAGCATCAACTAACATTTCAGTTACTGTGATGAATTTCACAAAGGAAAACTGTATTTTTTGTATAATAAATTAATAAAAAATTGTTTTATGTGTATACTTAAGATTTATAAATTTATTTATGTTAGTTTCTTAAATTAATTATATTATGAATTTGTAAAAAATTTATTTTTCTCCTAGGACGCTAGGCACGAGCCCGGAATTGTTGTTCACATTACTTCAGGCTAGATTTTGGTTACGGCATTATCACTTAGATAAAATCCATTAGTGATTTGGCGGGGTTTCAACCCGGGACCCCAGGAACCGGAGTCCCGTGCTCTAGCCACTAGACCTGCTCGCTCTGCCCTCTGTTGTATTGCTTTAATTTACAATGATATTTAGATAGGTACTATAAATCAACCTAAGTAACTTTTAAGTAAGTTCTTCTGATTGTAAGCGTTAAGTAACCTTTTCAAATTTTTACACTTTTGTTTTCATTCTTTATATATTTTTATATCTTAAAGTTTGGAGAACCTATGAAGCAATTGGTGTTAAGAGGTCGCAGCATAGATTAAACATACTCCGTATGTTTAATCTATGGTCGCAGGTAGTTGAAAAAGGTATGTAAGATATTTAATAAATGGCTGGTTAAGCTATTGAAGGTGACCAAAACGTTAAACAAATCACAACAATACAAACTAATTATTAGGCTAATACAATTAAATACCTTTCAACTATACGTTAATAAAGAAATATCAACTTAAAGTTCAAACCAATTTCTTAAAACCCTAATTTATACTTTTTCGCCGGTTATTAGTCCAAATGTACTTACTCATCCACGAGGAAAATTAAGATTAGGTTATTTTGTATCATGATAGTATTTTGACCATATATTACCAATTGAGATGGGGACGCCACCTATGTGCGTATTTTAACCTGAATATGAGTGAAGGATGAGTTAGTTTAGAATGTTGTGTAGCTTTGTACTGACTAAGATCAGCTGTTTCGTTAGTCATTATTTTTTGAATGATCAAGGACAGCTGGGGCCGTTTTGAACCATCAAAAAGCTACATACTTCTCGTAGGATCGAACCGGCGACCTTTTGATCACTAGGTGAGCACTATAACCACTCAGCTATTTAAAGAAGTGAGATGACTTGTGTAGCTTTGTTACTGACTAAGACCTGTTGTTTCATTAGTCAGGACTATGAACAAGGGTGGTTGTGTCTAGTTTTGCACATCGAAAATTATAAATTTTCTGTGAAAATCACTAAATGTTCAAAGCACTTTTTAATAGAGAAGAATGCAATATTTCCCAGTAGGTCAATTGGAAATTTGGCTTAAGAAAACTAGTACAAATTTGGCCATAGCTTGACTAATGAATAGCTAGTTACTGTTCCTCTGGAAAATTTAAACTTTTTCCATTGGGTTGTTTGCTTTCGTAATCTACAGTTTGAATACATTGATGCTTTACTTTTTTGATGCTTCGTAGTTAACACCCCTGTATGTCAATTCGCCTTTATTTACTTAATTCCATATTTTTTTATGTATTGGTTTTGAGCACAGTTAAACCTCTATTCTGCACACTGATGATAAAATTAGTAAATTATCTTGGCATTGGCAATTGTCTATATTAAAGAAGTTTTTCTGGTCCTTAATAAGATTGACCTATGGCATTTATTTAGCTATAGCTTATACATTTAGTTTTCTTCTTACCTGGAATGAGGACGGTGATGACGAATAAGATAACCAGCGTTAAATCACATTCCTTCATTATCATCACACTTGTTTCACTGCATCTTGATAATAAAGGAGTTTATCTTAAACTTGTAGTAACCAACGTCGTAAATACTTTTAATAATGTAAAATGATAATAATTTACGGGTTAATAATAGCTACAACACTCATTTTAACGCGTTAAGCTGTAAACAATTTACGTAAGTCATAACACTTTGGTACGTAACCGTAAATCGAGTTAACGTTAGTCGTAACACAAAGAGAAGCGAGTTTGTCGGACGCTCGACGACAACTGAGGACCGTATACTCCCTCCAAAACCCTCCGAACCGTCCACCCCTCCCGCCAAAACGACACCCTCTCAGCAATATAACGTTCTAAACCTTTTGTCGGAAGTTATTCCACTGCTGCATTTCGGATAAGTATTTCCCCTCATGCTGCTGCACTTATCTAGTAAATTATTTGTTTTTCTACTCAAATAGTGGTTCTGAAATTGGAAACAATTGTTTACCCTGTACCAAAAGTGTTTGTATGAATCCAACTTATGTGACAGCAGTAAATTTAGTTATAAAGTATAAACCAAATAATAGAAGAAAATACATCGGTATCGGTTACTTGTATTACATATATTTTATAATTAAATAATAAACATTCTTTTGTAATAGTTCGCTACCAAATAGTTCCATGTTGTTTTATTTGTAGCGAATTTCCCATATAGGGAATAAGCTATTACCGCAGGTCTCAAGGTAAGACCTAGACCCGGGGTGGGTTTACTTTTTCGTTTATAAGGTCCCCAGAGACTCGTATACTATAAAAAAGTAGAGACTAGCTTTTTTAAAAAGCTAGAGAAAAAAGCTAGAAAAAATAGAGACTAGTATATATAGAACACGGGTACTGATGATCTTGCGTACAAACGGAATGTTCTATAAGAGACTAGTTTCACAAGTATAGCATTTTTGTTGTACTTAATTTTCTACCGGATAAATTTTTATCTTTTGTGTACACAACATGGTTTGGAAGCTAGATTATCAATATTTTTTCTTCTTCGAGGTATTTCAAAAACCCAATTGACTGCAAAGTGAGAGTAGGGCTCAATTTCTAGCATGTTCACAAATCTTTAATCGGGTGGACCACTTTCCATGAAAGTGTTTGTGTTTTTAACAGTTTTCTTACGAAAATGCTACAGGCACTTCATGTTCATTTAGTTTCCCCCTAAATTCTTGTCAGAAACAATTTAATTACTTGGAATATAATCACCATAGTGTACACCCAAGTGATAACGTAATTAAGTGTTAATTCCACCAAGGCTGTGTAGGCTTTACTGAACACGATCAGCAGTCTGCCAATTACACCCCGAGGGATGTAAATAACCACATACCTACTGACTTTCTAGCAACTTAGGCCTATATCAGATGTTTGCGTTTAAGTTTGCTGAAGTCTGCTTTGTATGTGAGAATTCCGTAACTATCACAAGCTAGATTGGATTATTACGACGCCAAAACACTAGAGTATGTATCTAAAACAAATATTTCTGAACTATAAATGTTGAGAGAATCAAATGTTAGCTAACTATTGGGATCAAGTGATTAATGATCCAGAATCATTAAGTAAAATTCCATGGATAGCAGTATCCAGTTTCAAATCTTTATAGGAATATCGACTTTTGTAGGATTCGAACCGTCGACCTCTGAGTACAAGGGTTACTCAAATAGATTTGATTCATCGATACACTGAGCTGCACTGCAAATACCCTTCATGAGGTTAAGCTATCATATTTGATCAAGAAACGGAAACGTAACACTTAAACATAATTATAGATGCGCATACTTTAGACCCCTAGAACATAATGTTTTTCAGTTTCTTTCCAAATATTCTGGCAGAAAATGATATAATAAGCTAAGTGTTTCTGTCAACTGAATGATTATCAAAAAAATAATTTTAAAGATGTGGAATTTAAATTCCTTTAACATTATGCGAGGACTATAGGAATTAGGTTGTTCATGGATATATTTTGATCAAATTTTGCAAATAATATATTTTATGCTAGGCTACTAGCGTTTCCTTAAAATAATTACTTTATTTCCTTAACTGTATGAGCAAACATACGTACCTACTCATTAAAACGTATCCTACTTTAACATAAATACAACAGTTTTAAGGAAATGTTTGAGTAAAATCCAATCGGGCAAATGTAAATTCGCTTCGACTGAAGGTTTGTTGCGGCGGGAGTATTTAAATAATCATTGACATATACATTTATGGTATATAGTCAATGAAATAATCCATCTACCCGATACTATAAATAAGCTTACAATGTCATGCATGATTAAATAGTTTAAGACTATTGTTCCACAAAGCATTTAATCCCGAAAGTTGAAATATTTCCCTCTTAATATTCGGCTACGAGTGACGCAAAAGTTAACCATTTACTCTTAAATTACGACATCTTTATGGCGGTACTTGACTTCCACTTCCTTAATAGTCGATAACAGTTGAGGCCAAACTTTTCGCATATTTTCCAAACTTACACTTTAATTTAATAATTTTAAGTAGGTGCTCTTTCTGCCTCTTTTTTCTGGTCAATATTTATTGCTTTTGAATTTTCGAGTGACTAACTGCTTTATTTTTGTAGGTGGTACTGTATTGTTTGTATTCCATGGATATAAATATATATTTCCATTAAAAATACTTTCGGTTTATTTATTGTATGTGATGTGAACAATTATCGAAAATTTTCGCTTCTAATGTATACACATTTTTAATGACCGTACAACTTGTATTGCTGTCAAAAGCTAAAAACGTGTTCTTTTCTATCATGCTGCCGTTAAAACTGCTGTTTTCACTGAATTAGTAGTTCTTTTCCTCCCTCGGACAAAAAGAATCTGCCAGATTTGTGAACATCAGCTGAACACGAATCTAACTTTCAATCTAACTATTAGTCTGCAAACTTCTTGAAGAAAATAGTTACAGTAAATTAATAAACGTATTATCTTATCGTTATTAAAATGTATTTGGGTTTATAACCGTGTGTCATTGCATAACTATTAATCAACATAATGCAAATATAAATGTAAAATAGTTTCATTCATTTGAATATAGCTCCGTATCTATATATCAGTTATTTTCTTTCCTTTGATGATTTTTTTGCAGTCACACTTAACATCGATGCTAAATACAGTGATGACATTAAACATAGTATTATTTTTGCTGATCGAAACCAAATTTTACTAGTATTAAGTTCTGAGTAGTGAAAGCCATTTGAGCAAAGTGATCATGTTTCGTGAGTTTTTCATAAAGAAACAAATTTAAACTATGTCTACATACTTGGTAAGTTTAGCCAAAGTATGTTCAGCCGTTATTGAGTGATTATGTAACAAAGTTAGCATTGAAGCCGGTCTTAGAGAGCTTCACTCAACTAGAATAATATAGAGTTTATTGAAAAAATCTTTTCATCACTCCTCACCGAAAGTAACTATTTTCGATAACAGCTGACATCAATGAAAGTAGCCGTTTCCCAAGCTCTAATTTAGGGCGAGGGAAAATCGATCAGCTGATTTTCCCTCGCTCTAAATTTACTTTCCCTCGCTCTCAATTAGTTTTCCATTTATTCACTACGCGCGCTAGTGTTTTGTTACGGTTTAATTTAATGATTCAAATCAGCTGTATGTATTGTTCAAAGTCGTTTTAATCTTTTATTTTGATGTTTGAAGTATTGAGAAATATACGAAGGTATCCTTTAGAATATTTTATTTTATTTTATGTTTTAAAAATCAAACAAAAATGAACATTGGTTTACTTTTAGAAGATTTATTTTATTTTTATGTTTAAACAAATTGTTTGATAGATAATTATTGTAAAATTACTGATGAGGTCTGCTATTCTGTGTTTGTGTATTTTTGCGTCGTGATGAAAAGTATCGTTCATAACTCGTACCGAAAGTTATTATCCGGCACTTGCTCTATTATTCCCGTCCTCGGCTTCGCCTCGTACGTGAAAATAGCTCTCACGTACTCGGCTTCGCCTCGCAAGTGAAATTGGTGTTCCCTCTGTTCGGCTTCGCCTCACACAAAAACTTGAGCGCGCGCCGGAAAATGCCAATTTCGGTCCTAGTAATGAAATATACTATTCTAAATCTGGAAAAAACTTAATTAGAAAATAATGTAGAAGTCTAGTAACAACACAAATGTTTAACACGATCATACAACCAATAAATATTACACCATTTGTTCTATTGAAACAGTTACATTTCTAATCTGACACAATTTCAGAATATATTTTCTGCGAAGACAATAAAAGTGGGCCGCAATACAGTATTTTTGAAATATAGTGAGAGAAAGTTGTAACTCGAGAAAACAGATTCAGCGATGTGTAACAAGTGCGAGACCGACTCCGTTACTTAACATTTTTATTGTTTTGTTTATGTCAAGACAGACTGGGCTGAAATGGGAGCTATTTGTGAACTCGTATAGTGACAAGTAAACATCTTGCCTTGGTCTTATAGATATTTTTATTAATTTAATTTTAAATTTATTTTGTTTCAAGATTAAGTGTAACTACTTAAACTAAGAATATTTAAATTACAATATGATTTTAATGTTATTAATGTTAATTTAATGTTATGTTTTAATGCAATTTAAAATGTACTAAAATGTTAGTTGCGTCTTCCTAACTAGTTTGAGTTAGTATAATAGAGACAAGTATAAATTTGAAGAAACGTTTTTTTTTCCTAGACTCTAGTTAGGGATCGGTTTTCACACTACTTCAGGCTAGAACTTGAGGTTGCAGTATTATCACTTAGATAAAATCCACTAGAGATTTTAACCCGGGATCTCAAAGACCAAAGTCCCACGCTCTACCACTAGACCAGCTCCCCCATTAAGAGTGTTAGGTAAACTCAAACTGCTCGAGAATGTAAAGTAACAAGTTTATTATAAATTCAAAGGCAAGCAGAATAGACACAAGGATCTCAGACATATAAAAAACACGGTTGACAGTTTTGTGACTTGAAATTTCTAACAATATCACTAGAAAGATTTTAATTTAACATTTTTGAAGCATTTAAAACATTATTTCTCGAATACGCAATACCAAAGGGAATGTGAATAAATTTACGAAGAAGTACACATTCAGGTTTTTTGCCTTATGAAAAAAAATATTGTTTTTTCTTTGTTACGTATGAACCTAACAATAGGTCATAAGTGAAATTTTCATTAAATTTGACATTTGAAAAAATAAAAAGGTTAAAACCAATAAACTTGGAACCAAAATAGGT